TTGTAATTAACATATGCAGATCAAACACAGTTTTATATTTAAATATTTTATATATATATATTATTGGTACCCTTTTGTCAGGGGTCATTTCGTAGAAAAAGAGCTAGGGGAACTCATTAGCATAACTCATTAGCATATGCCACACCCCCTGACATCAGGGGCCCGGCGGTGGACCTGCAAGGCCAGCGGGAGTGCGAGGAAGCCCCCGCCAAGGCCCTCCCTGGCCCCAGGCAGGCAGGGGTGGGGAGAGGTGGGGAGGCCTCCTCCTGGCTGAATGAGGACCGGAAGCGGAGCGGCCGGAAGCAGGGGGTGGGGCTTCGTCATGTGCCCTGCCCCCCTGCACCTCACCCGGGGGAACTGTGTTCCCCCGTGTTCCCCCCCCGAAATGACCTCTGCCTTTTGTATTGTTTGTAATTGGGCTGGTGATATACCGAATAAACTGACTACACCCAACTCTATGGTTTTTATTGTTTGATTGGAATGATAGATTGGATCTTTTTGCTGTTTCAGGCCCTGAGCAAATTCCATCTGTCATGATGCTTGCTGAGTGATCTTTGGCAGTACCACTATTTTAATCCTGGCCTGCTTCACGGGGGTGTTGCAAAGATAGGAAGGGAGAGCCATGTATGTCACTCTGAGTTCTGTGGTGAAACAATGAGATAAAAATGTGTTAGTACAAGTTCTCCATGATCAAGTGACGGCTTATGTTTGTAATTGCTGTACACTGGGTACCTGGCTTGAGCAGTTTGTCTCAGATAGGATGCACAAAAATCTGTTTAACTACCAGGGGAACTGGTTTCTCCTGATCACAGATTATTACTCCCACGTCCCAAAAAATCTTAAATGGGACATCTTGAGTACTAGTTCAGTGATCCTGCACTATAAATCCATTTTTGCAAGACACAGATTCCCCAGGCTAGTATAGCGTGACGATTTCCAGACATCTGCAAGAGACTATGGATGTCCGATTCAAATATCCAGTCCCCAGTTCCCCCAGAGCGATGGCTTTGTTGAGGCAGCTGTCAAAATATTGAGATGCAGTCAAAGAAGAATGTAGATCCCTACACAACCCTACGGAGTTGCTCATGGGTCATTGTATCTAGACAACTCTGCCAGTGGCTCCCATCAGGTCCTCCAACAGAAACAGAGGAACTGATTGAATGGGAAAGCCATATAAGAAAAAGACAGCAGAGGAATTATGATACCTATCAGGGGGCTGGAGTGTGAAAAGACTTAGAGCCTGGCAAGGTTGTTTGGGTTTGTGATAAAAGAACATGGGGAGCCATCTGTGAAAAGGCACACAACACTCTTATTGGGTGGCCACTCCAAAGGGGAAACTTAGGCAAAATAGTTTTTATCTGACTCAAGCTACTGGAAAGAAACCTCCCAAGGCAATGATGATAAGGAGATAGAATCAGTGGCAGGCAGCTGACTGGGGGAGGATGAAGCCCCAGATTTGATCCATATCCTGTAGCAGGAGAAAGAACTTCATCCATCTGGAGAAGAAGAATCTCCTCCTTCATAATAGAACCAGGGGTCATTTCATAGAAAAAGAGCTAGGGGAACTCAGTAGCATAACTCATTAGCATATGCCACACCCCCTGACATCAGGGGCCCAGCGGTGGACCTGCAAGGCCAGCGGGAGTGCGAGGGAGCCCTGGCAAGGCCCTCCCTGGCCCCAGGCAGGCAGGGGTGGGGAGAGGCGGGGAAGAAGCAACTTACCCTCCCTCTTCTCCTGCCTCCTCCTGGCTGAATGAGGGCTGGAAGCGGGGCGGCCGGAAGCAGGGGGCGGGGCTTCGTCATGTGCCCCGCCCCCTGCACCTCACCCGGGGGAACTGCGTTCCCCCGCGTTCCCCCCCGAAATGACCTCTGAATAGAACAAAGGGTGGTTGGGAGGTTCAGCCACCACAGAGAGCTGGAATTGCATTATCAGTCATTTTAAAAAAGTTTTTGAGGAGAGATGTGAGAGAAGTTCCTGATTCAGAGGTTAAAGGAAAGTCTGAAGAACTTCCCAGGTAGACAAGGGAGAAAGCCTAGAGTGTACAGTTAGTTAAGCCAGTCAGTTTAATAAAGTTCTGTTCTGCTTCCTGACACTGGCAAATGTTGGCATCTCTCAATCCAGAGTTTCTAATTGTTGAGCTGTTGACTTTCATTAAGCTTGCTGGGTTATCTTGTGCCAGTGTCTCTTTCTCAACACGACCTGCCTCACAGGGTTCTGGCTAGGTTAGGAAGAGAGGGCGATGTATGTTACCCTGGGCTTTTGGAGAGAACACTGGTATTAAAATGTACTAGATAAAACAGATTGAGATCTCTCGGATGAAGTAATAGTTTTACAATATTGATAAAAATTAGTGACATGCCTGTGGAAATAAACTTCAAGGCAAGTGCTTGAAGTTGCCAGCTTCAGGTTGGAAAATCCTTGGCGATCTGGAGATACAGCCTCAGAGGGTGGGTTTTGGGGAGGGATATAATGCCATAGAGTCCACCTTCCCTAGCAGCCATTCCCCGCCCCCCCCCCGGGAAGTGATCTCTGTCGTCTGGGGATCCGTTGTAATTCTGGGAAATCTCCAGGCTCCACCTGGAGGTTGGCAACCCTTGAGGCACTCCTATTATGACCTCTAGAGGGTTCAAAACTTTAGTGATTGACAAATGGGGACCCGTGATACTCATGGGGGGTGGTCCCTTCCCCCACTTAACTTTACCCCCCCTCCCACCAGTGCCAGCTAAGAGAAGGAAGGGATCTCTGTGTGAGTATTGTGGCTATTGCCTCCCCATTCTTTTGGCCACTGCCGCCGAACTGCCGCCGCCTACTAACACTGATATCGATATTGGTGAGCCGAGCACAGCTCCAAGCTTCCACAATCAGGACCGCTGCAGCTCCCAAAGCCCTCCAACCTTAAAGCTTCTGCTTAAAGCACTGCACTCCCCCCAATCTCCCCATTAGCAGTATGCAACTTGATTACTACTTTTGATGGAGGAGACACACATCCAGCCACATAGGATATTTGTTACCAGTGAGCGCAGTGTGGCTCCAGTCCTCCACTGGTGGGCCCACTTAATTAATTAATTGTTGTACAGCATTGTGTGTAGTATAGCCAGGAGATCTGTTAGTTTCACATATACAATTGATGGGTGTATCCAGAAGACCATACATGTTTTGGCCCCTTAGGGCCTTCCTCAGTGATCAATATTACTACCAGTGTTCCCTCTAAGCTGAGTCAGTGTGAGCTAGCTCACAATTTTTTAGCCTCCGGCTCACACATTTTTTGTCTTAGCTCAGGGAGGATGGCTCCAGAGCAAACTGATTTCTGCAGCAGCCAAATCACTGGCTCACAACTTTAATGCCAGTAGCTCACAAGGTAGAATTGTTGCTCACAAGACTCCACAGCTTAGAGGGAGCATTGATTACTACTGCAAAGGGTTTTTTTGTTTCCCATGTGGCGGTTGTTCTGTATGTGCTTCTGCTGAGACTCAAAAATCCTTTCAAAATTCTTCCAAGACTAGAACTTTCTTTATGAATTCTTTCTGTACCTGTAACTACAGAGGAGTAATTGATTGTATTAGATGCCCTTGCAACAAAATGTATGTGGGAATGACTTCTAGACCAGTTAAAGTAAGAACTGGGGAGCATAAGAGTTGCATTAGATTGAAGGAATGCTCCACTTGTCAATCACTAACTTGACTTTGGACATACTGGAAAAACAGCTGAAATTCTGGATTATAGAAACAATTCAAGCTACAACTTCAAACATGGTCAAACTCCTTCAGAAAAGGGAGATATTTTGGATACATTATCTACAGACATTTTGGGAATGAATGAAGACGACTGGACCTGCTGCTTTTGAGAAAATGTATACTTGGCATTCTGTATTTGGTAGTGCTAACCTTGTGATCCCTCCCCCCTTTTTTTTTTGCTCTCTCCCTCTCCTCTTCACCCCCTCCCACTATGAAAAATAAAAAATTCCCTCCCTTGGCAACAGTATTATGCAATGCATGTGGGTGATTGCATCATACCTGGGTCCTACTATATATTGATGTAACATTAGCAGTATGCAACTTGATTACTACTTTTGATGGAAGAGACACACATCCAGCCACATAGGATATTTGTTACCAAGTTGGTTGGCTAATTTAAATAATCTATGTCTAAAAATTATTTGCATAATAATACTATTTATAAATCCAGGGGTGGAAAAGGGTCACTAAAATTAGTAAAAGTCAGTTTTTTCATCTTGGTCAGTAATTTGTCAGGGTTTTTTTTTTTTTAAATGATTTTTGGGAATGCAGTTTGTGAGGGAGGGTTGTTTTCATTACTGCATTTTGGGGAAAACATGATGACTTCCCAGTGAGAAGACAGATTGTTTTCAGTTCGTATCTTGGGTTGAGTGCCCCCCCTTTCTCATTTTTTGGTATAGCTGGGAGATCCAAAGATTGTCTGGCAGTCTTAAGTTCTAACTCTTTAGTGTTATGCATCACTAGGTGGGCCCACTGCCCTCTGCCCGCAAAGCTTCTGCTGTGCCAGGACGCCATGTTCCCCTCCACCCCTCATTGACATGATGACATTGATGCCGGTGAGCCCAGAGACAGCCCTCTGTGGCTCCTGAAGCCCTCCATCCTTAAAGCGTCTGTTGTTGGGATGGCAGGCACACACACACCCCACTGATGCTGGTGAGCCCAGTGCGGCTCCAGGCTTCACCTGCCATGACTCCCCCTCTGTCACCGCTGAGACTCCAGAACAGAAGTAGGTGGCTTGTCTGCACATGCGCAGACAACACTTTTGTTTTCAGGGGGGATTTAACCCTCCCCCGGTATAATTTTTTTACCAATTTCAGATTTTTGTGTAAACCTCGCAGTTTCCCCAAGTTTGAAGAAAAATCTCATTTGTCTAAGTGTGGGCCCAATCCGTAGAATTAAATATCTGCAGATGTGCCCACACTTGAAAAATAGATATATGTAGATAGGTAATATCAGAAAGAACTTTAATGAGGTGAGTAAACAGGAAAGCTTCGACACAGAAAGGATGGGAAGTAACAAGTGGGTTCCAAAAGCAAGTCCAAAAGCAAGAGAGCCAGTTTGGTGTAGTGGTTAAGTGTGCGGGCTCTAATCTGGGAGATCCGGGTTTGATTCCCCACTCCTCCACTTGCACCTGCTGATGTGACCTTGGGTGAGTCACAAGCTCTGGCACAGCTGTCCTTGAAAAAGAGCAGTTTGTGTCAGAGTTCTCTCAGCCCCACCCACCTCACAGGGTGTCTGTTGTGGGGAGGGGAAGGGAAAGGAGTTTGTAAGCCGCTCTGAGACTCCAAGTGAAGGGTGGGGTATAAATCCAATCTCTTCTTCTTCTTCTTCGTCTTTAATACAGTTCGCAGGAATGGGCAGAACTTTTAACCAGAGATGCCGGGGACTGAACTTGGGACTTTGTGCGTGCAAAGTAGAGGCTAGCAGGAATCCAAATCCACAAATCCCACTGGTGTCCTTCCGGCTCTCCCAGGCCTGCCTCTTACTCCCATTGTCCCCTCAGACCTCTGCTTTCTTCTCTCCCTCCCTTTTTCTCCACCCTCTCCTTCCTCACCTCAGGTAAAACACAACTGTTATTTAGGTCAGATGTAGTTGCTCAGTATTTCCATGACAGTTTCTTTCATAAAAGCCGTCCAATTATGGCCTTCTCCATCAGCTTGTTCATCCAGCCCAGGATACACAAGGATCAAGTAAGCAATCAGTGGGTGCGTTCAGACGGGGGATTTACAACGGTTAGGGTGCCGGTTCCAACAGGTGTACTTACGGGCGTTCAGACGGCAAACATCTGCCTCCCCTCCCTAACCATTGTAAATCCCTTTAAACCATTGCACTCTGCCACTAGGTCCGAAGTGGTGGTAAACAGAGTGCAACGGTTGTAATCGGTGCACCCCGACATCTGATCGCTCTCCTCCGTTACAGAGACACTTCCGTCGGAAGCCTGAGGCTTCCGGCTTTCCCCCGCCATATATTTTTTTTAAAGGAAGCGATATGTGCTCAGGTGAAGCTTCGCCCTGAGCATTTGTGTAAAAAAAAAGAAGCCTTATTTTAACTTCCCGGAGGAGTCCGGGACAACAGGGAGGCCAGGTTGGGCTTTAAACTTTAAAGGTAAGTGCTTACCTTTAAAGTTTAAATGTACGGGGGGGGGGTTGAGCATGCGCAAAAATCGCCATTCTCTGAATGGCTGCCTATGCGCATGCTCAAACTGTCCTTTAAAAAAAAACACACACGCAGATGCCCGCAGCATGTGAGCGGGCGTCCACCGGAGGGCTCCGCAGACAGGAGGTAAGTCTGATCACGTTTATGCCGGCAGAAAGGCCGCGTCTGAACGCACCCAGTAGGTCTCAAATCTCCAACAATTTTGTCTGCTTCCTCAGGCTTCACTAAGTGAAAGGTATCAATATGAACATAAACTCATTACTTCCAAGTGATTATTTAAGGGTTAGAGCCAAACTAGGTTCAATGATGACTGTCATATTTACTTAATCCCATGTATGCCCCAGTAAGGACTGCCAACTTTGGGTTTAGAAATTCTTGGAGATTTGGGGGTAGAGGCAGGGGACAGCAGAGTTTGAGCAGACTTCAGCAGGGTATAATGCCATAGAGTCCATCCTCCAAAGTGGCTATTTTCTCTAGGCCATTTCCTCCAAAGTGGCTATTTTCTCTCTCTAGGATCTATGTAGTCTGGAGATCAGTTGTAATTCCAGGAAATCTTCAGGCTCCACCTGAAGTTTAAATGTACGGACGCTGGGGCGGGGTTCCCCCCGGGACCCGATTCCCTGGCGTCGGGGAACGGGCCTCTGGGGCAGGGGGTTTTCCGCCCCCCCGGGGGGATTTGGCAGCCCTAGTTGGCAACCTTGGTCCCAGTCATGTATAAAGCAAAATGTCTGACTTTAACAACCAAAGAGACATGTAGTGGTGACAGTGCTGGATTAGGATCTAAAAGACCCACATTCCGCTCCCTGCTTTGCCATTGAAGTGGCTGGATGAACCTAGGCCAGTCTCTCTCTCAGTTTACCCTAACTGACAGGATTATTCAAGATGGGTAGCTGTGCTTGTCCGTAGCAGCAGAAAAGAGCAAGAGTCCAGTAGCCCCTTAAAGACTAACAAAACACGTGGTGGGATATGAGCTTTCATGAGTCACTGCTTACTTCTTCAGATACAGCTCACAAAAGCTCATACCCTGCCACAAATTTTGTTCCTCTTTAAGGTGCTAATGGACTTTCACAGGCCAAAGTACAGAAGCATCTAGGACCCAGTTATCTGTCTTTTGGGCAGTCCATGGTATCTATACAACTCTCTGCCAAGGCCACGTTTAAAATTAATCTACTTTCTTCTTGTCAGCTTTCTTCACTGTGCAACTTTTGCATTCATACATAGTAATGGAGAATACTGTGGTATAAATTATCTTGATCTTGGTCACCAGTAGGGTTGTCAACAGTATTCTTCGCCGGGAGTGGGGGGCTCCCGGCCAGTGGCCGGTGCGTGTGTGCGCGCGTGCGCTCATCACCCCCGGGGCCCGATTCTGCGGCGTCGGAAATCGGGCCTCCAAAGCGGGGGTTTACCTGCCCCCCGCCCCACTTGGCAGCCCTAGTCACCAGCGACACATCCTTACACTTATGGATCTTTTCTAGCTCCTTCACGGCTGCCCTTCCCAGTCTCAGACTCCTTCTGATTTCTTGGTTGCAGTCTTCCCTTTTGGTTGATGATGGAGCCAAGGAATGGAAAATCTTGAGCAATTTCAGTTTCTTCATTGTCAACCTTAAAGCTGTATAGTTCCTCAGTAGTCATTACTTTTGTCTCCTTGATGTTCCGCTGTAATCCTGCTGTGGCAGTTTCTGCTTTAACCATCATCAGTTGTTGTTTCAAGTCATCACTATTTTCTGCCAGTAATACAATGCTATCTGCAAATTTCAAATTGTAAACATTCCTTCTGTCAATTTTCACTACACCTTCATCTAAACCTAATCAAGTTTTCCTTACGAAACATTCTGCATCTAGATTGAAGAGCTAGGAAGATAAAATACATCCCTATCTGACAATTTTGTCAACCAGAAGCCATCCTGTTTCTCCATATTCTTTCCTAAAAGTAGCCTCTTGTCCAGAGTATAGATTGCACATCAAAACAATCAGATGTTGTGGCACACCCATTTCTTTTAAAACCAAGCATAGCTTTTCGCGATCCACATAGCCAAAAGCTTTTGCGGTAGTCTATGAAACACAAGGTGATTTTCTTCTGACTGGTCACCGTGCCTGTGGGTCATGGAAGTTTCTCTGCTTTTTACATATAGCGTGGTGTTGAAGAAACAGCAGATCAATGCCGAAAGCTGGGTGCTGTTGTTCATACATATGTGGTGAATTGCCAGAAGAGGGAGGAAATCTACAGAACTGCAGATGAGGTAAGTGCTGTCAGAGTTTAAACATGCAGAGGAACAGAGTACCAACTGTTTAAATAAGAATAACAGTTTATTAAAGAATAAATAAATTGATAGAACAGAGGAGAGGGAGAGAGGCTTAATCAACTGACAAACTGCTGTGAGAGACAGGAATGAAGGCGGAGGGCTCAGCTGAAGCAGGAAGTCTCCAAAGAGCCAATCAGGAGACAGGAAGGACATAATTTGAAATTGTGGGAAGTCCCTCATCTAGCTATTCTAACCAGCAGTCCTTCAGCTGTCCCCTATAGGCTGTTTTTCTGATCATCTTCAAGTAGGTGCACTATAGATCTTGTATATTCCAACAGTAAGATGTAATTGTTGCAGCTCTAGACCCTTTCCTAGGCATCATAGAAGGTGTCATGGCTCAGTGGTAAAGCACTCAGAAGGTCAGAACGGGTTAGAATGGATAAAAGGAAGTACTTCTTCACCCAAAGAGTAATTAACACATGGAATTCACTGCCACAGAAAGTGGTGGCGACTACAAGCATGGACAGTTTCAAGAGGGAATTAGATAAACATATGGAGCAGAGGTCCATCAGTGGCTATTAGCCACAAGGTATAGATAGGAACTCTCAGGCTGGGGCAGGTGATGCTCTGTATTCTTGGTGCTTGGGGGGGGCAACAGTGGGAGGGCTTCTAGTGTCCAGGCCCCACTGCTGGATCTCCTGATGGTACCTGGTATGTTTGGCCACTGCATGACAGAGTGTTGGACTGGATGGGCCATTGGCCTGATCCAACATTGGCTTATCTTATGTTCTTAAGATCTCAGGTTCAATCTATGGTATCTCCATTAAAAGGATCAGTTAGGATGTGATGTGAAGGATCTCTGCCTGAGACCCTGGAGAGCTGCTACCAATCAGTGTGGACAACAGTGATGTTGATAGGTCAACGGTCTGTATTGCACCTTTTCATGTATTGCTTTTCAGAGGTGCCCCAGTTTCAGCTCTGTGCATGTGTACTTAGCAGTGGTCTCCACAGAATTCAGTGGCACTTAATGCCAAAATAAGTATGCAGTCCTGTGAAATCAATGGGTTTAGTTACACTGGAGTAACTTTGCATAGGACTGCCCCACAAGTGGTTTGTCGGTGTGAATGTGTAGAGATAGAGACTCCCAGCTCAAACCTTTCAGGGTGGAAGCATCATTGAAACAGACGTGCAAGCACCAGGACAAAGAGAATCATGGTGATATGGGTGCATAAAATTAACCCTATTGGATCAGCTCAGCAGCTCACTGAGTCCAGCATCCTGTTTCCCACAGTAACCAACTAATGCCCACAGAAGGCCAATAAGCAGGGCCCACAGGCCACAGCTTCCTTTGTTGATATCCTCATCAATTGGTATTCAGCAGTACAGTGCCTCTGACCATGGAGGTTCTATTTAGACTTTATATCCGATCATCACTGACGGATCTGCCCTTGAGGGCCAGACATCTTATTAGAGATGACATCCTCAGAAGAAGGAACCGAGGTTCTCATTGACATTCTGAATAAATGATGATTAGAGTTCCAAAGTTACAGGTCTAAAACTATCCATGTTTATACCCTAGCACTAGCAGAGAACTGATGGTCTACTCAGGTAATTTCATTTCAGAGTGTCTTTGGAGGTGAGGTAGGGCTGCCAACCTCCAGGTGGGCCCTGGAGATCTCTTGGAATGACAACCAATCTCCAGACAACAGAGATCAGATCCAAAGATCAGAAAACAGCTGCTTTAGAGAGTGGGCTCTGTGGCATCTTACTTTGCTGAGGTCGCTCCCCCAAATCTCCAGGAATTTTCCAACCTGGTGTTGGTAAGGTGAGGTGGGTTTTCTTCAGACAGTCACAAAACAGGGAAGAGGGTCAACTATGCTGAACTGTTGGAAGTAGGTGGGTTATTCAGTACAGCCATTACCTGCAGTGAGGGATAGGATACCGGGAATGGGAAGGGAGGGTAAGAAGAGATTAAAACTGTTAGGGATTTCAGTGTAAAAAAGCAGAGATAATAAATGCAGCAGGATGCTTGTATTGGATTTAAACAAGAAAGTTTACTTCACTAATGAGGGAAGGGTCACTGGGAAATATGGCAAACAAAACAAAACAAAGAATTAACATCCCCTCTGACTATACTAACCTACATGTTGACTCTCTATAGTCTAAAACACATGTGCATGCCCCTGGCAGAGTTAGAGACAAAGAGTATTAAACTTTCTAAGCCTCTTGGAGCTGTTCTCTCAGGAGCAGTTCTCTCAGAGCTCTCTCAGCCCCACCTACCTCACAGGGTGTCTGTTGTGGGGAGGGGAAGGGGAAGGAGATTGTAAGCCGCTGTGAGACTCCTTCAGGTAGTGAAGGGTGAGTTATAAATCCAATCTCTTCTTCTTCTCTTCTTCTTCTTCTTCTACCCCAGGACATCTGCTGATCTATTGATTAACCAGTTGAAGAAACCCAAATTATGCATTTTGACTCCTTGCTCTGGCAAGAAATATGTGCATGGTCTGCTGTTGGGTCTCTCTCTATAGGATATCAACATTATTATTATTATTATTATTATTATTATTATTATTATTATTATTATTATTATTATTTTATATTATTACTACTACTACTACTACTACTACTACTACTACTACTACTACTACTTTCAGCTTCTACCCCGCTCGAACCCCCTAGGGGATCTCTGAGTGGCTTACAGTTACTCTGTTATCCCTAACTATGGCCACATCTTAATTGGGATGGTGACTGCCCTACCGGCACCCTGTAGATGGCGCTGTTGTTCTTCTTTTTTGATCTTAGCTCGGCACCTCGGCCTTCCGGCTTGGCTCCCTTCGGTTTTTCCTCCATTCTTCTCTTGCTGTCCTCAGCATACAAACATGTACATTCTTCCATGACTTCACGGAGAGAACTTGCAAACTCTAACAAAAGCCAATTATATCAAGACTATGGATTTATTTGGCTTGGAGGTGGCTGGAGATGACTCTCTTGGGGGGGGGTTGGGGGGGGTTTCCCCAGTTCCAGCTGCCTGAGATGCTGGAACTGGAAGGGCTGGGAATCAAACCTGGGACCTTGTGTATATATCATCTACCCCAGCTTGAAATTGTATTTTCGAGTGATGTAACCTATTTGTAGCCTCATGGTTGAAGAACTAGACAGCACTCTATTCAGCAAACAGTTCATGTCAAAGCATGTTTATTTCCACAGACATAGTGTCAGTTCTTGACATGTGGCAGCAGACACCATCATTCACAGCCAGTCCTACTTCTATATTGTGCCACTTTTGTTGTTTATTTGCTGAGAGCAGAGCCAACAGGCAGGTGGGGCAGAAACAGAAGACTTTCCCATCTCAAACTGGAAACCAGAGGGCACATGTCCCTCTAGGATTTCTGTCTCCATGCTTGTTCCCACATTCTGCATCCAAGCCACACCCCTCAAAGACTTCTCTCATTGGTGGTGCACTCATGAACACTCTTGGTAGCCAAGCCAGTAGCCAGGAACACTGACACCGCTTCCTAAGGAACTACATGTTTCCCTGTTTATATTTTTTATTTTTGAGCCACCTTGTGACAGAAAGGTTTCAGAGGCCCTGCCCATTTTAGCAGTCACCCCACACCCTTGTTTCTCCCAAGGTGCCTGTCTGATAGGTATCTCTTTCTGCTCAAACTTGTAAGTCTGCCTCCAGCTGAGATCTGTCACACAAGAAATAATGTCTAGAGGTGTATGAAACTGAGGCAAAACTAAGTTTGACTTGTTATTAGAATGGTTGGCATATAAAGGACTCATTGGTTATATATATATATATCCAATGTTGATTAATTTACAGTTTAAGAGAGAGGATAATAATAACAATTATCATATGGCTGTGTGTGTAGTATAGCCAGGAGGTCCTAAGATTGTCTGGCAGCCAGAATTTCTAACTTTTTTTTTTTTTGCATTATACACCACTAAGTGGCAAACTAGACTTGTTTGGGGGGCTGAGAGAGTTCTGAGAGAACCGTGACTGACCTAAGGTCCCCCAACTGGCTTCATGTGGAAGAGTGGGGAATCGAATCCAGTTCTCCAGGTTAGAGTTTGGTGCTAACTACTGCACCAAACTGGCTCTCTAAGGGAGAGGATTATAAGGGTAAATGGGAAAATGTTAGTGAAAGTCATATGTTGCAAGAAGAATGGGATTGGATTTGGGATAAAATCTCTAGGAATGTAATAATGGTTTATAAGAAGAAAAGGTTTGATAACCTTCATTTGACATAGTTTTTGACACCTTTAAGGTTAGTGTTTTTATTAATATATATGTATATGAGTGTGTGTATATCTGTCTACTTATCTCTGTTTGTCTAATCTGCATCTTTATGATGCAGATTTTAGGCTTTGACAGATCCCAAATGCAGGTGTATGGCATGAGTTTGGAGACTGCCAATTAATTACATCATTTTGGGGGGAAATTTTTACTTAAAGACATTATTGGTTATGAAATACCATGGGAACCAAACGTTTTTCAGAGGTTTAGTTTGTTCATTTGTTTTAACATCTGTGTTGGTTCTGATGAAGTCAGTGTGGTTACTATGGCAGGAATGTGTGTCATAAATGCATGGAAAACTAAGGCTTTGATACCAATTGCAAACTGGTATAAAAAGATTTGGGCAGTATCCCTTTTGCCCAAGATTACTCATTATGAGAGAGAAATGGAGAGACCTCAGTCAAACAGATTTGTAAGAAACTGGATTTTATTTGCTGAACATTGGAATACGAACTTTTGTGTTTTTACTACCTTAATTTTTTTAATTAATTATATAGCAATTATATAATAATTATATATAACATATATATAATTATATATAATTATAATTATATATATTATATATCTCCTTATATATAACACTGTTTTGGTCGTGGACTCTTGAACACGCTCCCAAATCAGTTGGCCCACTGGTGTGTCACTCAAATGGCATCTCTACCCACTGCCTGCATGGCTACCTGCGTTGCCATAGCCCTGCCCACTGGAGCACCGCCCAGCATCTCAGCCTCAGTCTGCTTGCAGCCGGCGCCCAGGCCAGACGCTCCAGTTGGCGGCCGCTTCTCAGGCCGAGCCCGATCCTGGCAGCGCCACAGTGGACATCATCGGCCAAGCCTGACTACAGGTATCCACCTGGCCTGCTAACTGATGGGGGCCGGCACGCTGCTGGGACAGAGGACGGTGGAGGCGGCCCAGAGGTCACCAGACGCGGCTGAGCCCGATTGCAGCTACCCGCCTGGCCTGCACATGGATGGGGGCTGGCATGCGGCTGGGGTGGAGGGTGGTGGAGGCGGCCCGGAGGCCACCAGGCACGAAGCCAGTGCTGGGCCCTTCCATCACCCCTCGACCCCTGGGGTGGGGGGAGGGGGGGAAGCGGGGGAAGAGGGGGGGCTGTCTTCCTAGAGCTCGTTGTATTCCTTCTATGCAACGGACATTGCTCCTAGTAATTATATAATTATAATTATATAACAATTAAAATTAATAAAGGTGATCAGGTCTCCCACTATTGCCCAGTAGAGCAGTGGGGGAAAGATGGGAGAGGAATGGATGGAGGGGTAAAATCACAGAGTCTGGAATGCTTGAACATCACTATTTGGCTGATTGGTAATTGACTAGACAGTGGTCACGCTCATTAATGTTACTCTATTCTGTTAGATTGAATTGTTTTAAGGCTTTATGCAGTCCTGATAAAGACTGAGGAAATCCCTGCCACTCCAGAATAGGGCGTTAACCACTGGGTTCTTGAACTTTTGTTACAAAGCATTTTCAGACCTTTTCAGACCAATTGGGGACTATACTTTATTGTTGCAGGTGCTGTCTTTACAGCTGTTATATACTGGTTTCAATTATTTGAACCTATATTGATCTATTACACAGTGTTTGTTCTATTGGACTTCTTTGTTCACTGTGGTCCCTTAGATTTATTGTTTACCACCTGGCCCTAAACATCACACCAACTTGATGATGTCACTTCTGGGTTCATGCATGGTCGCAGTGCCTATTCCCTCACCTTGCATGTCCCCACCCCACTTGGCTGGCAACCCTAAATAACTGTTCCTCTTCTCAGAAGTGGAGTGTGTGTTATAGGGAACCATTCTGCCAAGATTTCCATGATACATTTGTGTAAATGTGTAAATTATTATGAGTAGACAGTTCTTTATGGTCACATCGCATGGCATTAACTGAAAAGTTCCATCTTGGGAAACAAACAGTTGTTTTTAATGGAATCACTCCTTGGGCCCCAGCTTGCCAGCTATCATGTCTGCTATCTTTTTTTAATTATGCCAAACTTAGTATATAATTAATATGGCAAAATTATAGAATTCTGGCTCACAGACTGCATGCTTTGGCACTTGAAGAATCTATTTTAAGTCTGAAGCTCACTTAAACCCACTGAAAATAATTGGTTTTTTAGAGTTCTTAACTGTGCTGGATTCCGCTGGTTGTATTTTGGGGGTTTTTTTCCATACTTCGGCCATGTTGTGCTGCTTCTGATGATCATGCTATCAGTGGGATCAGTTCAGACTTCCCCTCAGGAGTGCCATCTGTTCCAGGTTGCTGGCGTTTTTTTTGTACATTCGTTGAAGCGTTTGAGCATTTCAGCAGCCGCCTTCACTCTTTACATGAGAGTAGCCCCATTTACTCTTGTGTAAAGCACAGTAGCTGAAGCACAACAGATAATTTATTTGCACCGTTGGCTTCAGTATTGCTCCACTAGTTAGTTCGGGAACGGGCAGGCTCCTCCAGCAGAGGTGGTGTGGTGTGTGTGTGCTTGTCAGTAGAATTAAGGAGCGAGAACTTTGTCTAAAATGGCTGCCCTTCTCAGGGGACAGTGTCTACTGGGAGGGGACCAAAAACCAAGCTTCATGGGGGAAGGTCTCCTTTCTGAGTCCTGATGAAACTGGTGGCCACAGCAGAGATGTTTGGGGGATTTATTTTTTAAATTTGCCATTGCAGAACATGCTGTACCTTTAAAAGTATTTCAACCATCTGTTAAAAGTAGCACAACACAGAAAGTGTTCCCGTTGCAGAGGCCAGCTGGCCGCACCCCCTTTGCAAGGAGAGTGTTCAATGCCGGTATTACGATTCAAATCATTTTATTGGGTATCTCGTGCATTCAAGGATGATTACTTACTGACCATTGAAGAATGGCTTACAGAATATGGCTCCTGCAACAGGAACAGAAAGTGTGTGTGTGTGGTGTGAACAGTGGATTCTCCTCCAAGGGCTCAACAACACATCTGATGTACAACAGAGGCAGATAAACTGGGAGCTGATGTGTCAAAAACACTGCAATAGTTCTATACAGAGAGAGAAGACCAGACCAGACCGGGGGAGGGGGCGGGTGCACTTGCATGGCAGAGCAGAGGAAGTTGCCCCAACACAGGGACCTTCGATTGCGGAAATATTTTGCCATTGAAATGGAATTTTAAAAAATTAAAAACCCACTAGCCTGCCCTTTCTGGGAGAGTTTTTGCGTCCTAGTGGGTTGTGCTGGAAGTCACCAATGTGAAAAACTTAGTTCAGATTACAGAGCAGAGACTTTGTTGCAAATACATTTCGCTTTCCACCAAAAAAGGTGCGGGACAAACCAGTTTTATTAGGAATGGGGAGAAAAACATGGAAGATATGAGAAAGTGCCGGGATGTTTACGAAGTTGTGTGAACACAAGAAAAAAACACCCATGTTTACATTGGGTAATGCAAGTGGGTTTTTGTGAAAGACCCCAGTGTCTATCACCACCGCAGACTTGAAATAAATTGTATCCCTATAACAAGAAAGAGCTGAAACTTCATTCTCTCTGAATTTTCAATCCCTGTGGATTGCTTTGTATTTTATAGGTGAAAAAAGACGTTGGGGACATCAGTATCTTGATTAATAACGCCGGAGTGATAACCACGGGACATCTTCTTTCAGTCACGGATGAACAGATCCAGAGCATGTTTGATGTTAATGTTTTTGCTCAGTATTGGGTAAATGTAGTTAGTAATGCAAAGCTTTACCTGTATGGTAAGAATTACTGATGCCATGTTACAATCATACATATTGTGTGCAGGATATGCCCAATGCAACCTTATAAATTTGATATTACTTTCAATTTAGTATTAACACTGAGAATATGGTTTGCATTTTGCCCCTCACCTAATTATACTATCATTTTCATCTCAGTCCTAAGCAGAGTTATTCATTTAATCATAGAATCATAGAGTTGGAAGCAGTGTTCCCTCTAAACTGAGTTAGCGTGAGCTAGCTTACAGTATTTAGCCTTCAGCTCACATATTTTTGCCTTCACTCTGGAAGGGATGGCTACAGAGCAAGCTAATTTATGCAGTAGCCAAGTCACTCACTCACAACTTTGATGCCAGCTGCTCACAAAGTAGAATTTTTGCTCACAGGACTCCACAGCTTAGAGGGAACATTGGTTGGAAGGGACCTCTAGGGTCATCTAGTCCAACCCCCTGTACAATGCAGGAAATTCAAAAATACCTCCCACACCCCCAGTGACTGCTGTTCCATGTCCAGAAGATGACAAAAAACCTCCAGGATTGTTTCCTGACCCCAAAGTGGCAATCAGCATTTCCCTGGGTGTGTAAAAAAGGGCCACAAGAACTAAGCACTGAGGCAACCCTTCCTGCCTTCCCTCTCATAATCTGCCTAAATTCACAGAATCTGGATTGCTGTCAGATGGCTATCTTGCCTCTGTTTGAAAACCTCCAAAGGAGGAGAGCCAACCACTTCCTGAGGAAGCCTGTTCCACTGAGGAATCACTCTGTCAGGAAGTTCTTCCTAATGTTTAGCCAAAAACTCTTCTGATTTAATTTCAACCCCTAGGTTCTGGTCCGACCTTCTGGGGCAACAGAAAACAACTTTGCGCCATCCTCTATGTGACAGCCCTTCAAGTACTTGAAGATGGTTATCATATCACCTCTCAGTTGTCTCTAGGGCTGCCAAATGCAGCCGGGGGGCGGGGATTCCCCCGCTTCGGACCTCCGATTACCGGCGCGCCGGAATCGGGGCCCGGGGGAAACCCCACCCCCACGTGCGCGTCACCCGGAAGTGAGGTCGCACGCTGGGGGCGGGGCCACGCGATTTGAGGGGAAAACAAAGAGTTTTCCCCTGAGGCAGCCATTTGAGGGGAAAACTCTTTGTTTTCCCCTCAAATCGCGTGGCCCCGCCCCCAGCGTGCGACCTCACTTCCGGGTGACGCGCACGCGGTGTGCGCGCGCACGTGCCCGGGATCGTCCGGGAGCCCCCCGCTCCCAGACGATCTGAATTTGGCAATCCTAGTTGTCTCCTCTCCAGGCTAAACATACCCAGCTCCTTCAACCTTTCCTCCTTAGTCTCCAGACACCTCACTATCTTCGTTGCTCTCCTCTGGACATGTTCCAGCTTGTCTATATCCTTCTTAAATTGTGGTGCCCAAAACTGAACACAATACTCTAAGTGAGGTCTAATCATAGCAGAGTAAAGTGGTACCATCCCATCTCGTGATATGGACACTATATTTCTGTTGATACAGCCCAAAATTGCATTTGCTTTTTTAGCAACCACATCACACTACTGACTCATGTTCAAGATCGTCCTGTATCCTGACTCTGTCTTCTACCGTATTTGCCAACCCTCCCAATTTAGTATCACCTGCAAATTTAATAAGCATTCCCTCTATCTCTTCATCCAAATTGTTGATAAGGATGTTGAACAAAATAGGTCCCAGGACAGATCCTTGATGCACTCCGCTTGTCACTCCTCTCCAAGAAGATGAGGAAGCATTCACAAGCACTCTTTGAGTGCAATCTGTCGACCACTTACAGATCCACCTAACAGTCATAGGATTTCAAATGAATCAACTTTCTTCCTGTCAGCTTTCTTCATTGTCCAGCTTTCACACATATACATTATAATCCTCACACTATCAGTTTTGCATGGTGGTTATGTGTGCGGACTCTAATCTGGGAGAACCTGGTTTGATTCCCCACTCCTCCACTTGCAGCTGCTGGATGACCTTGGGCAAGCCATAGTTCTGACACAGCTATTCTTGAAAAAGAGCAGTTTCTGTCAGAGCTTTCTCAGGCCCACCTACCTCACAGGGTGTCTGTTGTGGGGAGGGGAAGGGAAAGGAGTTTGTAAGCCACTCTAAGACTCCAAGTGAAGGGCAGGGTATAAATCCAATCTCTTCTTCTTCTCTTCTTCTTCTTTTCTAGCTCCTTCACAGATACCCTTTCCAGTATCAATCTCCATCTGATTTCTTGGTTTCATTCCCCCTTTTGGTTGATAATGGAGCCAAGGAATAGAAAATCTTTAATAATTTCAGGTTCTTCATTGTCAACCTTAAAGTTGTGTAATTCCTCAGTTGTCATTACTTTTGTCTTCTTAATGTTCAGCTATAATCCTGCTTTGGCACTTTCTGCTTTAACCATCGTCAGTTGTCATTTCAAGTCATCACTATTTTCTGCCAGTAATACAGTGTCATCTGCATATCTCAGATTCTTAATGTTCCTTCCGTCAATTTTCACTCCACCTTCATCTAACGCTGATCCAGTTTTCCTTACGAAACGTTCTGCACACAGATTGAAGAGACAGGAAGACATAATCCTTGTCTGACAACTTTTGTCAACTGGAAACCATTCTGTTTCTCCATATTATTTATTTATTTATTCATTCATTCAATTTGTACCCCGCCCTCCCCGCGAACAGGCTCAGGGCGGCTTACACAGTTCTGTCCTAATAGCCTCTTGTCCAGGGTATAGGTTGCAAATTAAAAAAGAGAGAGAGAGAGAGATGTTGTGGTACAGCCATATCTTTTAAAACTAAGCATAGCTACGGTATTCATGACCCACATAGTTAAAAACTTTGCTATAATTTATGAAACACAAGCTGATTTTCTTCTGAAATTCTACTGTATGCTCCAGTAACCAACACAGATTTGCAATATGATCTCTAGAGCCAGTTTGGTGTAGTGGTTAAGTGCACGGACTCTAATCTGGGAGAACCGGGTTTGATTTCCCCACTCCTCCACTTGCAGTTGCTGATGTGACCTTGGGTCAGTCACAAGCTCTGGCACAGCTGTCCTTGAAAAAGAGCAGTTTGTGTCAGAGTTCTCTCAGCCCCACCCACCTCACAGGGTGTCTGTTGTGGGGAGGGGAGGGGAAAGGAGTTTGTAAGCCGCTCTGAGACTCCAAGTGAAGAGCGGGGTACAAATCCAATCTCCTCCTCCTCCTCCTCTTAGTTTTCTGAATCAAGCTTAATCATCTGGCATTTCTCATTCCATATATAGTAAGCCAGGATCCACGTGTTCACTCCCAAGTCCTTGCTTGCAATCCTATTACATTGCTTAGTAGATGTCTCACCCTATTGATTGCATTGACTCACACTGTGTGATCTACCTTGAGTCTCACTGAGAAAGGCGGACTATAAACAAAACCAAACAAACAAACAAACCATTGAGAACAGACCCATTTCTGATTGACAACTTCCTCAGATTTGGCTTCTAACATTTGCTTGTTCGTTTTACCTTTAATTGTTCTCAAGACTGTGAAAGCATTCTTGCCAGCGATGATTGAAATGAACCACGGCCATATTGTCACAATTGCTTCAAGTGCTGGTTTTCTGAGCGTGCCATTCATGGTGACTTATAGGTATGTATTACCTGCAGGGGTCGTTTCGTAGAAAAAGAGCTAGGGGAACTCATTAGCATAACTCATTAGCATATGCCACACCCCCTGACATCACCGGAAGTGTGTCATAAGGCCACACACCCCGCCCCCAACGGTCCCGGCCACCCCTCATGGGGCTCGGCAGTGGAGCTGCAAAGCCGGCGGGGGTGCAAGGAAGCCCCGCGAAGGCCCTCCCTGGCCCCAGGCAGGCAGGGGTGGGGAGAGGCAGGGAGGAAGCAACTTACCCTCCCTCTTCTCCTGCCTCCTCCTGGCTGAATGAGGGCCGGAAGCGGGGCGGCCGGAAGCAGGGGGCGTACCTCACCCCCGTACCTCACCCGGGGGAACTGCGATCCCCTGCGATCCCTCCTGAAATGACCTCTGATTACCTGATTGTCATCTATCATAGTGACAAAATCAGACTCAGTGGGTTGTATCTCACAGATCTGTTCCACTGTGGGGTGCCTCCCCATTAGGGTTGCCAAGTCCGTTTCTCTTTGCAGCGGGGGGCTCCCGGACGGCGTCCCGAGCGCGAGCGCGCCGCATGCACGTCAGCCGAATATGACGTGATGACGCCGGGCACGCTGGGGGCGGGGCCACAGCCATCTGAGGGGAAAACTCTGAGTTGCAGAGGGACGGACAGCTTGTCTCTAGATGTAGATCAGTGCATGCGTGTGGAGTGTAAGGCACCATTCAGTGGCCCAAGTGCCATCTCACACACTGCAGCTCCTGTGGCACAGTTTGAACAGTTGTGGGTCAGGTTTTAGTACATTTTTATCCCAAATAACAAGAATCTTCCTGGCTTTCAAAGCAGCATAAGTAAATGAACGTATATTAATTTTTATATATATATATATGTAATTTACTTTATTTATACCCTACCTTTCCCTCCAATGGGGACCCAAAGCGGCTTAAATCATTCTCCTCTCCTCTGCTTTATTCTTAAAACAACCCTATGGAAGTAGATCCGGGTAGTCAGCCATGTAGTTCTGAAGCAGCAGAGCAAATCTAGAGTCCCAGGGGCACCTTTAAGACCAACAAAGGTTTATTCAGGGTATGAGCTTTCGTGTGCAAGGCACACTTTTTCAAATACATTGGAACGGTAGATGGAGGTCCAAAACTTACAGACAGGGATTTAACAGCAAATTAACATGTGACACGATGATGCTTAAGTTATGCAAACAGTGTGACGTTCTTGTCCTCTCCCCCCACACACACCTTTTCAAGTGCCAAAACAACCACAGGGGAAGGGACAATTCTCCACGCGTTGACTGAATGCATGGGGAGGAACGGAAAGCATAAGCTCCCTGCACCATCACCAGTTGCCCCTCTCGGTGATCTGGGATGCTACTTTCCAAATTCGGGGAGGCAGTGTACACACAGGTATTTCCTCCAGACAGAGGCTCGGTGCTCATGAGCCATCAATCACAGGGGGCAGGGCTTTTTTTGTAGAAAAAGCCCAGCAGGAGGAACTCATTAGCATAATAGGCTACACCCAACAGCAGACACTCATTAGCATATTAGGCCACACCCTTGACAGCACAGCACATTAGCCTATTAGGCCGCACCCCCATGTTACCAGAAGTGTGGTCATCCAGCCACACCCACCTTTTGCTTCTTATTCTGTTTACTTTGTTGTCAAAACCCAGGGCCTTTTTTTGTAGCAGGAACTCCTTTGCATGTTAGGCCACACACCCCTAATGTAGCCAATTTTAATGAGTTTCTGCTGTTGGGTGTGGCCTATTATGCTAATGAGTTCCTGCTGGGTGTGGCCAACTCAGGAGGCCAACTCTGTTCCTGTGCGTTCCTGCCCAAAAATAGCCCTGACAGTGGGAGGGCAGGGCCAGTACGCTAATGCCCACCCGCCCACCCTCTCTGTACATTCATCCAGTGTTCCAAAGGGTTTGTGTATATAGAGCTAAGGTGAGCTGCTGAGACACTTAGAGGGAGAGCTTTGCCAAAGGGTCTGTGGCAGCTCGTTCCAGAAGAGGATAAAGCTGTGATCCCAAATGTGGCTCCCATGGATGCCACAGTGCCTTCTCCCCCAACACTTGTAATACTCCCCCAACACTGCTGGTGTGACCTTGGGTCAGTCATAACTTAAGTTCTTTCAGAGCTGCTCTCTCAAAGGCAGTTTTTGAGAGAGTTCTCTCAGCCCCACCTACCTCGCAGGGTGTCTTTTGTGGGGAGGGGAAGGGAAAGGGATTGTAAACCGCTCTGAGACTCCTTCGGCAGGATTAAAGAGTTCCTTGCCAGCATATGTGGGAGTGACTCCGTGGGTGGAGCCAATTTTTCTGATTCTTCTATCCTCCCACAGTTGAAAATATTAGCCCCGTTAAAAATTAGTTGACCAGCAGGAACAGAGGTAAATCTCAGAGTTTAGCCCTTGAAAAAAAAACAGTTTTATCCATGTGCAAAAGAAAAGAAAAAGAAAAGAAATAGGCTTTAAATACACGTAGTGACCTAGAATTAGTATTTCTGTAAGTAATTTCTTACTTTTCTTCCCTCCCGTCCTCCAGCTCATCCAAACATGCTCTTGTTGGATTTCATCACTCTCTGACAGAAGAACTATATTTTTTGGGAAAGGATGGAATCAAGACAACATGCCTATGTCCGAGTTTTATTAACACTGGCTTTGTGAAGGATTTACTTCCGAAGTAAGTACAGCAGAGAGAGAAAAATACAGTCTAAAATCTCATTACTAACACTAGCTCATATCCATCCATAGGGTTTCTCTAATGGATTGGCCTTTCCATTTGAGGAAGTTGGAGCATTGCATTTCCACTGGTTCCCCTCTCCCACTGCAGATCCCCACTTTGCCCCGTATGCTGCTGCTGTGGGTCTGCTGACCCTGGGAACAAAATTTCAGGGAGCTCAGCAGCAGGGGAGGGAAGCAGAAAAGAGCCAGTTTGGTGTAGTGGTTAAGTGTGCAAATTCGAGGGGCGTGGTGATGCCAAGAAAGATGACAGTCACTCAATCTGTCGACTCCGACCCTCTTCCCTCTTCACACCTTGCTATTGACCTCAATCGAGACCCCCATTCACAAAGGAATGGGTAAGAAAGACAGCCCTAAACTAATCTCAGCCAAAATAACTCCTAGAAACGCTCAGGACTTTTTAAATTCAAAAATTAGTAAAACAGAGCTGGGAAAATCAGGCGCGGTGACACCTAAAATGGCGGCACATCCGTCTTTAACTAAAGCTCCCGAATCAATGGCAAACAGACAAGACCTCCCTTTTCTTTTAGAAAGAATGGAACAATTAGCTGACATACATTCGAGGTGGGGCTGAGAGAGCTCTTGACGGAAATTGCTCTTTTTTCAAGAACAGCTCTTATCAGGACTACGGCTTGCCCAAGGTCATCCAGCCAGGTGCAAGTGGAGGAGTGGGGACTCAAACCCAGTTCTCCCAGATTAGAGTCCGCACACTTAACCACTACACCAAACTGGTTCTCTGGAAGCCCAGCAGAACCAGTGCAATGTACAGTGCCCAGCAAACCCTGTGCCATAGTGGCAATGTCAATAAAATACTTATATTTATAGCCTATTAGTGTCATTTCTTAAAAGAAAAAAGCACCTGTATAAATTATTGTGTTCCTGTGAGCACAGAAAAACAGCACCTTGTTGGTTTACATTTTGTTGAGTGCCTGTGTGCACTAGTTTGTGTATATGAGCCGTTACTGCCAGGGTTTGGATGTTACATTTATGTATGTTAACAGATGTAAGAGATGACACTAATAGGCTATAAATATAAGTATTTTATTATAGTTTGTCTCAGCGTTCTACCCTTCTTTTTTTGCTAATTATACGCTGGGGAGATTTCCCTTCTTAATAGGTCTATAGCGTCGATGTCAGCTGATGCCAAGCCCAGAATCAGTCCAAGAAAGGGGGGAGGTTGGAAGTCCAGCAGAACCAGTGTCGTTCTGTCACCAAGCAGGGCAGGGATGAGACAGGGCTGCCATATTTTGAAAAGTAAAAAAGAGGGCTTATTTCTAGTCTGACTACTTTAAACAACTGATTACGATGACACATCTCATTTTAAATACCCTTCCTGTTTAAACTGAAGGGCTAGAGGGCAAAACAGGCTCAGGCTCCCAACCCCAAAAGAGGACATTTTCATCAGGACACCAAAAAAAAAGAGAGAGGGCATCTGGTAACCCTAGATGAGAAAGTCTTAAGACCAAGAAGTGAAAATAAAGGAGGGGGGACACGGAAAAATTAGGTGAAGGGAAACAGAAATTAATGAGAAACATGTGGAGAGGAATTAAGAGAGAGAAAGGTTGTTTTGTCTTGCTGCAGCACCCTAACTACTGCTTTACTAGATCTGGCTGAGCTGGGTGCAAGGAAAGGAAGAGGGAAAGGCTGGATTATTGGAGAAAATAACCTGTAGGCTAACAGTCCGTTGTTGTTAAGCAAGTTTGCTTCAGTCTTGGAGAAAGGGAAGTGTAGCCGATCCTAGCTATACTCAGACTTCCCTGCACCCCTAGTGGCTGCAGCCAGAACTGCATTTTAAAAATAAAAGGAAAGACGTTTGGCTGGACACTTCATGACGCTGGCTTCAAGGGCCCCTTTCAAGGGCCTTCCCCAAGCTGCGCCCGGGGTGGACTGCTCTCCCGCTTCACCCTTGGTATGCCACTGATAGAGTGGCCAACATTCACCTAGTAAATCTCTACAGCAGAGTGGTCCATTATCCCAGTGTTGTCTCTCATCTTGCTCTTCCTTGCTGGTTCATTTGCCTCCACTTCCTAGTCTGACTGGGAAATGAACCAACCTACAAGTGGTTGCTTGAGACAGGAAGGAAAACTTGACTGCAGGATAGAGAGGCCCCTCCCCGAGGCTCAGTGGTAGAGCATCAGCTTGGCATGCAGAAGGTCCCAGGTTCAATCCCGGGCATCTCCAGTTAACGGGTCAGGTAGTCGATGATGGGAAAGACCTCTCTAACTGAGAGCCTGGAGAGCTGATGCCAGTGTGAGTAGACCTCGATGGACCAGTTCTCTGATTCAGTACAAGGCAGCTTCATGTGTGTTCAAGACATTTTCTCTTTTGCCTTGCCACCATTGTGGTCACTACCTTTCTCCCTCTTCTTCTGGGAAAGAAACCACTTCACAGCCAAATACCTGAATCAGGTGACCAACTGCAGAGCCTAGATCAAGATGAGTAGGTGACCATATTAGTTGGTCTGTAGCAGCAGAAAAGAGCAAGAGTCCAGGAGCACCTTACAGACTAACAATATATTTGGCAGGGCAGGAGGTTTTGTGAGTCATGGCTCACTTCTGCAGAGCATGATATTCCCCCTTGGTGTTGGGGGAAGGTAGAGGTGGCAGTGCCAGCAGTGTGCAGCAAGGTGATATACCAGTGTTTAATTCACTGATATGCTACAGGAACACTAAGGTTGACAGCCCCTAATTGGGCAACCCCAGGAGACTTTGGGAGGAAGAAAAGGACTCTTCTTCTCTTGAAGTATGTTGTGAATCCTGTATGTATTTGTAAAGGGTGGTTACTTAGCTTTGGTACCAGTCAGAGCACGGTTGTCAGCATTAAATTAGCATGCTGTGGCTCAGCAGTTCCACCCGTCAATCTCCATAGCACAGGTTTTAATTCATGCCAGATATCAGAGCTTTAGGCATGTGGGGGCTTGCATGTCTGTCTGCCTGTCTGTCAATTAGAAACATACACATATATATATTAGCTGTTATTCTTATTTTCATTTAACTGCAGAACTGCTCCCGTTTTAGAAACTGAGTATACTGTCAATAAACTGATGGAAGGAATACTGACTAATCAGGAAATGATTGTTCTTCCACTATGTACAAAACTCTTTATAATAATGTTAAGGTGAGTGTCCTGTTCTTTGTGGCCTCAGATCAGGCGTTCCCCTACGGATTGACCAGCAGGGGTCACCCTCCCATTTTCATCCTTGGCCACACCTTCCTATGGTTTTCTTTTTACACAGTTTGCCCAGTTAGTCCCCACAGTAGAGCCCCGAGGACCTCTGTGCCCCTAGTCCCTTCTCTTAATGCCATCCTTAATGCCTGGCCCTCCCCGGTCGCTGAATGCTCTGTCAGCTCTCTCTGTGGCTTCTGCTGCCCCGCTGCCCCAGGCATCATCTGCCTGGCCCCACGGACTCCTCTGCAGTGTCCCCCTTCGATAAGTTCCTTCTTGCCTCCATGCTAGTCCCTGTGCCTCCGGCACTTCCCCCATCAACCACCGCCGGCACCTCTGGGTTCACCAGTTCCGGGCCTGTTTGTGCAGCCACTGCTGCCTCTGTGCCCCAGCTTCCTTCTCCAGCCTCCCTCTTCACTTTCCCTCCCCAAACCCCTTCTCCATCCTCCTCTTTAAACCCCTCAGCTGGCTGCCTTGTCCCTGTCCTCCTGCCGGCACTGGTGTGTCCCTTCCAGCCCAGTCATGTTTACTTCTGACCAGGCCACCAGAGGCCACCGCACGCTGGTCAGGGCTCTTGAAGCCAGGAAGGGGGCAAAAAGCCCCGCCTTGCTGCCTCTTCTGCTTCTTCTCCCTCACACGGCTCAGTGACTGAGCACTTTTTAAGGTGAGTTCCCCCAGTGTATGTCTGACAGCAAGTCTGGTCATGCACCCGTTACCTGACATGTGTCGAGCATATGACTTAACTATGCCCTATGCCTTTTTCTGGTTTGATTAAAATTGTTCAGCGGTTCCACAATCACCTTGACAGAATAAAAGTTAAACTTTCTCCACTCTTTCACATCTTCCTTCCAGGTTTCTGCCACAACGTGCTTGGAGATATTTCATAGCAACCGAAAGGGAGTGGATTGGTAACTACAGAGATATATATGAAAGGAGTAAGTAGATTAGCTGATGGTTAGCAGCTGTGTTCGTGGAAGGGAGTTAGCTGCTGACCATGAGAATCAGATCTGAGAAAGGCAAACTATACCTGTTTGGAGACATTTGGAAGATCCTGACTTCTGGAACACAGAGCCTTTGAGCTAGACGGATTTAAAAGCCCCTGGAATCCAAACCCAAGTTTCATGGTTGATGTTTCATTCACATAACATATTCTTATGCTTTGCTTAGAGTTGATATGCTATGACTGTTTAAATACTAAATACTCTCACACCAGTAATCATACTGGTCATACATAAATATTCATTTACTTGATTAATTGCATTTAAAAATATTTGCGTATTACCACCATTCGGATGTAGATTATTTCTTTTCGACATACTGAAAATGGTATTTAAAAGTATTTAATAAAAGTATTTAATAAAAATATTATCCACTGTTGGAGGGAAATCCCATCTTTACTCTTTTATTTCATATCTTTTTTATAATCTCACACCACAACAAAGAAGTCCCAAATATAAATAAGCCTACTCTTAACTCTATAGTTAACATTGGGCCTCATTGGTTAAATTCGGCCAGCGCACATTACCAAGAATGCTTTCACTGATCAATCTACAGATTAAAGGTTACATTCCCAATTATATTAAATTAGGATTGTCTGGTCTGTCAGACCAGCTAGCACAGAATGGGGGTGAAATTACCAGAAGCAAGGAGGGAAGAAGCCGTAAATAAACACGACATGCCTACATCACCCAGAAGTAATGTAGGCACACCAGGGATGTTGGGGACAACACTCTGGTTTGTGGACAAAACCTCTATGGTAGAATTAGCTCCTACCATAGAGTTTTGCCCAAAAGCCAGAGTGTCACCCCTGGACATGCCCGTGTCCCTTCTGGGTGACGTAGGCATGTGACATTTATTTCCAGCTTCTTGCCTGTTTGTGGGGGTAATTTCCCCCCCCCCGCCAAGCCAGCTGGTCAGTGACGGAGAGGAGCACTCGAAACCAGGGTACCCCTGTCCCCATGAGGGGGTCTGGCATCCCTATATTAAATTGACCGAGGCTGGACATAAAATGGAAGATTATACTAAATGGCAAACTTTAAGAACATAAGAGAAGCCAATGCTGGATCAGGCTAATGGCCCATCCAGTCCAACACTCTGTCACACAGTGGCCAAAAATACCAGGTGCCATCAGGAGGTCCAGCAGTGGGGCCAGGACACTAGGAGCCCTCCCACTGTTGCCCCCCCCCCAGCATCAAGAATACAGAGCATCACTTGCCCCATTGATGTGATGCAGAAGTTGTCTATGTGGGATGCAGGGTTTTCATATGTTACTAAGAATTAACTCTCCCTCAATCTCCAGGTTTACCTGCAGATATGGCGTGCTGTCTCCTGCTGATTCTACCTGCCAACTGTTAACTTTTGCCTTGCTAGTGGTAATAACAGAACTCCTATCTATATATCTATTTCTCAAATGTGGCCCCCACTGGCAGATATCTAAATCCACCAGTCAGTGCCACAGTGACTCTAAACAGATGTTTCTGCAAACTTGGGAAACCCCCTAGGTTTGCAGAAGAATCTGACATTTTTTAAAAAAAATACATGGCGGGGGGGTTGGGGTAAATGCCTCTAATCCAGGTCCCTTGCAAGGTTCCAGTGGAAAAGGGGATAAAGCTCAAAATGAAACAAAACATTATGGAAAAACTGAAAGGACAGTCAAGGCAGAATAACCTTCAGAATGGATCGATCCAATTATCTGTTATTTATTTCATTCAATTTATATCCTGCCCTATCTCGCGGGCAGGCTCAGGGCAGCTTACAACATTCAGTAAAACAATAAATAATAATCCAAAGAATAAATAATAATTCATAAAATCAACAGTTGCAGTTAAAATTCCCGATGGCAGCTAACAATTTCTAATTATAGTGCCTGCTGCGCTAATGTTAGGGAGGGCACATTTCTCTTAAAGAGAACACAGCACCGAGATCACTGACTGGTATTCGTTATGACAGACCTTGCAAACATTTAAGAGTTTCACTGGCTCACTGCTTCCTTCCAGGCAAAAGTCAAAGTGTTAGTTATTGTCATTAAAGCCTTAAACAGTCTGAGACCAGGACACACAGCCTGTGTATAATATCATAGTGCCATAAATGGTAGATCAGTTGCAGAAAAGAGTACCTCAGTGCTAACTAAAGGTTACTTGGTCCACATTTCAGTCTGCTGCAACAACATTTCATAAAGTTTATAGCAATAAATATTGCAGTCACCTAAAACTTAAAATGGTTCACTGGAACATTGTACTGCTTAGTGAAGAAGGACCAAATGAACACCATATTTTGTTTGGTACAACAGTGTATTATAATTAGAAGAATTCTGTTCATCTGATTTCACATCAATTGTATTTAATCAGCCTCTGACTGCACACCTTGCCGAGAGAGGAGAAACTGGAAGTTAAAACTTCAGGACAAAAGAATGTCTGCAAGAAATGCAAGATAGATTGCTGATTATAATCTAAGTATAAAATGCAAGATGATAGACCCTTGTGTTGATTGGTGTCTACAAAGTCACCCAAAGAGATGTTAATGCTTTATCTTTTGCATACGCAATTGTACTTTTGGGTTTGTTTGTTTTTTAAAAAAATGCTATTTTGAAAGCCATGTGAAAGATCCCTAAAAGAATTTCAAACTGTAACCACTCAGAACATGACCCTATTCACTGGCTGCGTTGCCTGAGTCCCGCCCACAGAAGCAGCACCCATGAAAATTTACCTCAGATGGGGGAGACTCCAGCCCTGCCGTTTCGCACTGTTGCTGTGCCCGGCCCTGCCTCGGCCTGCCTCAGAAGACGGAGACTCCAGCTGTGAGATATCCTTCTGCCTCTGGTAAAGGGGACCTATATGACTTCTGTTATCCTTTGACCTTTTACCTCAAGTGCCCAAACCTTTCCTGACAGATATAAAAGAATGTAAACAAGTATAAAGCCAACAGTCATGATAGTCTGACCCACAAATCAAACAGTCATTAAGACTTATAAGGAATGCTATCTATGTATTACCATCTGAAGCACTACAACATGATAAACGAATCATAAGAAAATCCTTGAACCATGATACATAATCAACGTCGTCTCCGGATTATATAACAACGTTTCAAAAAATGGATCTTCTTCAGGAGATATTCTGTAGTGTACAAAAATACAATTTTTAGAATACATGCTACACCAATAACAAGAGACAATACAAAAATTTTAGTGCTATCTTACATAATGGTGCAAAAGCTCTCTGTTTCATAAGTGCTAGACAACAAGTCTTAAGAAATCTGTAAGGGAACATTACTATATTACAGATTTCTTAAGACTAGAAACGATATAATACTCCTGAGGGTCCTTTCACTGACCACTCACTCTCAAGTACCCAGTTTC